TAGTGAGGACGGGACAGGTAAATGGGGAAGTATCACACCTTCTTCGATTGCATGGCAAGGTGCCTTGGATGTATGGGGAGGTGTTGAGAGTGAAGTAGGAGCGGACCAGGTTGTCCCAGAGGGAACAGTTCCTGTGGAATGCTGATAAGAAAGTGGAGGGGAATGTGTGTCTGGTGATGGCATCCCACTGGAGGTGGCAGAAATAGTGGCTTATATGCACATTTGTGAAAGAAGATGGGCTAAACACATCAGCTTCATTCTCTTTATCTTTACTTTCATTTAAATGTTCAAAAATTGCATCCAATAACTGAATTTTCAAGTCATCTCATGTTGTTTCATCGACTATTCTTCTTCCTACCTAATTCTATGGCCTGAGATCTAGAGCACAACAGTCAGGAAACAATCCACAATGTTCTTCCTATAATATCTCAGTTTCTTTTACTTCCACTAGTTGTTCCACCACTTTGGTGAAACCATATTTTCAAGTCAGCCAGTTGATTTGCCAAGATAAAATCAATTTCTCCTTAAACCTCACCCCTTCACCTCACTCCATATACACACAAACACAGACCAAAACACAAACAAAAAATACATTGGTTTTATGGGTACAGGGAAAAATAATGAAAATCACAACTCAACAGCATCAGTTCACAGGGCTCACTGAGATTATCCTTTCAGCTCCACAACTTTCTGTTCTTCAATCTCTTTTCTCCAGGTCCTTTTCACTTCTTCACAGCAGGCACAGACAATTGGTACACTAAATCTCTAAGTTACTGGTTAATAGCACAGCTTACAGCAACTAGTGGGAGAGAATAACTGGCTAATGCTTTCCAAAGGTTCCATGGCTTCTTTAGTATCGCTCAGATCTAAAAGCTGTTCAGCTCGCCAGGGGCCAGACAGTTGTGGTCATGCAGGTGGCTTTTGACATCCACAACTGGTCACAACTACTCAAACTAAACTTTGTCATTTCCAAGTATACTGTTGCCAGCCTGCCTACAGACAGCTTCCCACATTGCTTGAACAAACTGTAGTGCAATTATGACTTACAATGAGTTTCAGTTGCTTGCTTTTTAAAAATGTAGCAATTCTTTCCACAATTCTTCTTTTTAAAATCAATCCATTTTCCAGTTCAGGCCGCAATTAACAATAAAGTAAAATAAAAAGATACTCCCTTTACAACTATTGCTACAGTTTTAGTATCTATTTCCCTTTCCTGATGATTCTTTAGATATTCCAATCACCGCAATCAGTCTCCCGTTTAAGACCCCTTTGGTACAAGTATTTCTGCTATAACATGTGTTTCATTAACGCGAACTGACTGTAACACAATTGATGAAAAGTGGACACTGTCTGGATAATGTGAATTTTCTACTGTACAGGATAGTGATTCCCTACAACACGATTTTCTATAGCATGGGTGGTCACACAAGAATGCAACTATAATGTTATAGGAGAAATACCTGTATGTCCAGTCTTGTTGCAATGGAAGAATGTTATTTTGTATCCACTTTTTGATTCAAGACATTTTTCTTTGTTATTTTGGCATCCTTCTGTTTGTTCTCTAAAAGCAATGCCTCTTTCATCCATAGCTTTCCAATTCCTCCAATTTCCTTGTGGATCCCCATAGAACCATATCCCCATCTGTAGATATTTGAGAGAGTTTTTTCATTCACTTGTTGAATGTGGGCATCGCTGGCTGGGCCAGCATTTCTTGCCCAGCCCTAGTTACCTTTGAGAAGGTGGTGGTGAGCTTCTTAAAGCAGTCCATGTGATGTAGGTAGGCCTGTAATGCTGTTAGGGAGGGAATTCCAGGATTTTGACCAGGCAACAGTGAAGGAATGGCGATATACTTCGAAGTCAGGATGGTGCGTGTCTTGGAGGGGAATTTGTAAGTAGTGGTGGTCCCATGAATCTCCAGCCCCTGTCCTTCTAGATGGAGTAGCCATGGGTTTGAACGATGCTGTGTAAGGATCTTTCAAGTTTTTGCAATGCATTGTGTAAACAGTACACACTGCTGCTAATGCAAGTCAGTGATGGACAGAATGTTTGTGGATGTGTACCGATCAAGCAGGCAGCTTGGTCCTGGATGGTATCAGGCTTCTTGAGTGTTGTTGGAGCTGCATTCATTGAGGCAAGTGGGGAGTATTCCATCACATTCTTCACTTGCACCCTGTAAACAGTCATCAGGCTCTGGGGAGTCATGAGGTGAGTTACCTGCTAAATTATTCCTAGCCTCTGACCCGATCTTGTAGCCACTGTACGTATATAGCAAATCCAGTTGAGTTTCTAGTCAATGGTAACCACTGAGATACTGATATTGGCGGATTCAGTGATGGTAACACAATTGAATATCAAGGGACACTGGTTAGATTATCTCTTATTGGAGATGGCCCTTGTGTGGGGTGCACATTATTTACCACTTTTCAGGTCAAGCATGGATATTGTCCAGGTCTTGTTGCGTTTGAACATGGACTGCTTCAGTCTCCGAGGACTTGTGAATGGTGATGAACATTGTGCAATCACCAACGAGCATCCCCATTTCTGACCTTATGACGAAGAGATCATTAACGAAACAGTTGAAGAAGGTTGGGCTCAGGACGCTACCTTGAGGAATTTCTGCAGAGATGATTTGGAACTGAGATGACTGACATTCAACAATCACAACCATCTTCCTATGTCCCAAGCATGACTCGAATCAAAATAAGGTTTTCCTTGATTCCAGTTTGGCTAGGGCTGCATGATACCACACTCAGTCAAATGCACCTTTGATGTCAAGGGCTGTCACTCTCGCCTCACTTACACAACTATATCATAAGAATCTGAAAGAATTACTGCATCTCTGATCTTTGATGCTCATCTAAATAAGTCTTAAGGTTTACTAGCATACTATTTCTGAATTCTTCCATGATCACAATTTCCCTCACTTTATTGATTTTTTTTTCCTCTAACTTTAGTCACTGAAACCATTAAAGAATGGGCGCAGAAAACCCACTGAAGATGACTTTTTGACAGACATGAAAAATACTTTGATGCGCATTTACACATCCAGTTTTTCTCCAATAATTAAAAACGCTACATATTTAAAGTAATTTGGCTCATTGCAAACAAGCAATTTATCTGTAAATATTCTGGCATTTATACAAGTCTTGGACAACATGGACTGCATTCAAATATTTCTCAAAACTATAAACCTTTCAAGTAACCAAAAAGGAATAAAAACTTAGAAAACAAGGCAGGAAAAATGTACAATTTAGTTTAAAATAATTGGTTCTCTTGATTATTGGTTCCAATCCAGATCTTGTTTAAGGAGGTACCTGATAATAAGATGAGACATAATACAGCAGTCTAATTCTCACAATGTTGAAAGCCTAGAAACATTTTTTAAACTAAATGTATTAAGAATATAAGGAGCATGAAGCCAATTGTTTTCATATTTTTTTGATTCCCATCACTAAGCAGCAAAACTCCATGATATGCATCCATCCAACATTTAACCCTAGATAAAAACTTCAACCACTAACAAAGAATCGTAAAATTCTTGGAGCTTCAATGTAGAAGAAACTAGAAGGTCCTTTGTGTGAATACCATTAGACTTGTGTGTTAAGTAATTGAACACAGAACAGTACAGCACAGGAACAGACCCTTTGCTCACCATATCTGTGCCAACTATGATGCCATTCTCAACTAATCCCATTTGCCTGCACATGTACCCCTCTATTCCCTGCCCGTTTGTGTGCCTGTCCAAATGCCTCTTAAACATTGCTGTCGGATCTGCTTCTACCACCTCTGCTGGCAGCATGTACCAGGCACCTACCGCTCTTGTATAAAAAAAAATTCTTGCACATCACCTTTAAAAACTTTCCCTCTCTCAACTTACACCTATGCCCCTTAGTATTTGACATTTCCTTCGGGGAGAAAGACTCTGACTATCCACCCCATCCATGCTTCTCATAATTTTATAAACTTCAATTAGGTCGCCCGTAAGCCTCCGATGCTCTAGCGAAAACATAGAAGACAGAACATAAAACAGTAAACCATCCAAATTTGTCCAACTTCTCCTCATAGCTATCCAAACATTTCGGTAAACCTCTTTTGTACCCTCTCCAATCCCTTCACATCCTGTCTATGGTGAAGTGACCAGAACTGCACACAATACTCCAAATGTGGCCTAACTAAATTTTATGCAGCTGCAACACGGCTTGTCAACTTGTCCCAGCTGATAAAAGCAAGCATGCTGTATGCTTTTCTTTTAAACGACCTTATTCACTTCTGTTGCCACTTTCAGGGAGCTGTAGACTTGCACCCCAAGATCCCTCTGCGTAAGTGCTCCCAAGGGTCCTGCCATTAACTGTACATTTTCCTCTTTGCACTTGGCCACCCAAACACCTTTATATAATTGGGTTAGTTTCCTTCATTTAGCAAATATCATACTTGGTATCGGTAAAATATAATAAAATGTGACATATAATGCGGCATGTTTGCACAGATTGTTATAGAAAAGCAGTTTCTAAATTTGCTTTACTTATAAATAATTCGTTGAAGTTTTAACACCAAGTCGAAACTACAATGTATTTTCTTGTAAAATCATCTATGGCTTTTATGGTCATTACAAGAACATTAGAACACGTGAAATAGGAGCAGCACTAGACTACTTGGCCCCTCAAGACTGCTCCATCAATCAATATGATCTTGGTTGATATTGTACCTCAAACCCATGTTCCACCCCACTCCCTGTCCCTCAGTTCTCTAACAGATCAAAAATCAACTTATGTCAATCTTAAATATAATCAACAATGGAATATCCACAAATCTATGGGATGGAAAATGACAAAGATTCACAGGTCTTAATGAGGAAATATCTTATCTTAGTTCTAAATGATGAGTCCCTTAGGACAACCTATATTTTTTAATATGACCGTATATCATCTTTGCCATCAATAACCAATCCTTCCAATTGTGGACACATTATCAAATGAAAAATAGGTGGAAATAATTCTCACCGTAGCAATTCTTGTGTGGTTCTTTAACTTCAGCTTTTCTTTAGTGCTCACTCACACAAGGGAAACTGTAACTTCAAACCTTAGCACCACAGCTGTTTCTTCCGTTACTGTCAACAAATGTCAATGGCAGTGCAGAACTACCCAGGAATTCAATCCACCAAACATCGTTTTAGCTCGTATGGTCTCAAAACTGAAAAATAAAATTCAATGAGCCTTGAAAGTTACACAAAGGCTATAATAACTCTAGACGTTTAACTAAAAAGGTACTAGGCTGTAACAAAGATCAGGCTTGAATCCTTAACTAATAGGTACATAGGGCAATTTTAGTGACAAGGTGGGTGGATCAAGCTGGTACGGGTAGCACTAAACAAACAAACATAATTGATCGTTGGACCTGTCTGTCTATTACATCATGTGTACATAACACCTGAAAAGGCTCTGACTCAAATAATTTCCATGATAAGCCACTTCAATAGTCTTTTGTGTGGGGCAGAACACAACACCACCTCAGAAAATTATAGCATAAATTTCTAACGAATTTAACAACTGCAAAGAACACACACCAAGTCAAAATCTGACATAACCTTTTGGCAGTTTTTTCTAAGAATTATGCAAATCATGCTAAAATTAATTTAACTCGTGTTCACAAATTGACAAAAAAAAGGTGACAGCGCTGATACAAAATAGTTGTTGTGGAAGCATTTCATAGATATCCAAAATGTCAGAAGTAAATTGTATAAAAGCATATACAATAAAACAAAGGTATACCATTTGGATATTCAGAAAAACGCTTGTTACTTAAGTCAGGTCAGATATGGGCAAACCAAATAACATAAGGATTTCAAGCAAATCCTGCTACACACTTCATAGGACTGAAGGTTACTGCATTTTTGCAGTGAGAATATTTTATCATTAATATTTTATCTCTAATGCTCATTACAAGAGTGTAAATGGATCCTTCTAATCAGTCCATACAAATAGTTCATATATACAGCATACATGTGATGATCAATAATGTGGGTGTAGTGACAGCTTCCTGTTGAAAGTCTTTGTAACCTATGTAAATTGTAAATAAGCATTGAACTGCAACCTTTTTTTCGGCAACATATGCATTTATCCAACACCTTTAGAGAAAGACTCCAGGATAGGATGTTGCCTCCATGTTGCCATGGTCATGGGCATCTCTGAGCAGGGACAGGGCATCCTAAAACAGGAGAGCAAGCAGACAGATGTCATTGTCCATACTGGCACAAATGACATAGGTAGGAAGAATGACAAGGTCCTGCAACGACAATTCAGGGAGTTAGGTAGTAAACCAAAAAGCAGGACCTTTAGGGTACTAATCTCATGCTACTGAGGCTAGAAACAGAAACATAGTACAATTGAACATGTGGCTAAACAGCTCGTGTAGGGGGAAGGACTTCAGATTTGTGGACCTTTGGGATGTCTTCCAAGGAAGGTGAGACCTGTACAAGGAGGGCAGGTTGTACCTAAACTGGAGGGGCACCAATATCTTGGCAGGAGGGTGGGAACCAGAGTAGCAGGTCAGTAAGTACAGAGTATGGGGAAGAGCTTGAAACTAAGGCAAATAAAGCTAAGAGGAAAAGCAGTCAAGGAGATTGCTGAACTCAGCAGAAGTGGAGGCTTGGGCCGTATTTGCTTCATAGAATCCCTATGGTGTCAAAGCAGGCCATTCAGCCCATCAGGTCCACACCATCCCTTTGAAGAAGATCCCACACAGACCCACATCATTCTCCATTCAATTCACCTGCACATCTTTGGACTATGGAAGTAAACCACAGCACCCAGAGGAAACCCATACAGATACAGGGAGAATGTACAAACTCAACACTGAAGTCACCCAAGGCTAGAATCGAACCCAGGTCCCTGGCACTGTGAGGCAGCAGTGCTAGCCACTGTGCTCAATGCATGAAGTATAACAGATAAAACAAATGGACTTAGAGCCTGGATTAATGCATGCAGTTATGGTGTCTTTGTGATAGCAACAACATGGTTGAAAAAGGGACAGGATTGGCAACTTAACATTCCGGGATATCGATGTTTTAGACGAGACAGAGCAGTACGCAAAAGAAATAGGAGAATTGCATTACTGCTTAGGGAGCATATGACAGCTGTGTTGAGGGATGGCACCATGGAAGGATCTTGCAGCAAGGCATTATGGGTTGAGCTCAGAAATAAGAAGGGTTCAATCACAATACTGGGATTGTGATACAGATCTCTCAGCTGCCAGCAGGAGATAGAGGAAGAGATATGTAGTCAGATTCTGTAAAGATGTGAAAATAACAGGATTGTTGTGGTGGGTGATTTTAACTTCCCTCATACTGACTGCGAATCTGTTGGTGCCAGGTGTTTGGATGGGGAGCAATTTGTTAGGTGTCTCCAGAAGGGGTTTTTGAAACAGTATATTGATGGTCCAACAAGGGAGAGGGTAATCTTCCCACCCCCGGCCTCATCTCATGACCAACTCTCCCTCTCATCCCCTCCACTTTGACCTGTCCGTCTTCTCTCCCACCTATCCATTTCTCTCACCTCACTGACCAATCCTCACCAACGCCTACCTGCACTCACCTATCACCATCCCACCTACCTTCCGCAGCCCCACCCCTCCTCTCTCTTTACTTCAGAGCCCCTTTCCCCCTCCGCCATTTCTGAAGAAGGGTCCCAACCCGAAACATCAGCTTTCCTGCTCTTCTGATGCTGCCTGGCCTGCTGTGTTCCTCCAGCTCCACAAGGTGTTATCTCTGACTCCAGCATCAGCAGTTCTTACTATCTCAGAGGATAATACTGGACCTGGTATTGGGAAATGAGCCTGGCCAGGTGATCAAAGTTTCAGTGGGGGAGCATTTTGGGAACAGTGACCATGATTCTGTAAGTTTTCAGATACTTATGGATAAGGGACAAAAATGGAGCACTGATGAAGGTGTTAAATTGGGGGAAGGCCAACAATAACCGAATTAGGCAAGAAGTGGAAAATGTGGATTGGGCGCAGCTGTTTGAAGGTAAATCCACATCTGACAAGTGAGAGTCTTTTAAAGACCAGCTGATTAAAGTGCAGGAGAAGCATTTTCCTGTGAAAATGGATGTCAAGAGAAATTAGCAGCTTAGTCAAAAAAAGGAAGCATAACTAAGGTTTAGGCAATTAAAAACAGTCAAATTCCTTGAAGAATATAGAGAAAGTAGGAAAGAGCTCAAATGCTAAGTTTTGAGGGCTAAAAGGGGCCATGAAATGTCTTCTCCAGCAAGGTTAAGGAGAATTCCAAGGCATTTTATACATATATTAGGAGCAAGAGGGTAGCTAGGGAAAGAGTAGGCCCACTCAAGGACAGAGATTACGTGTGGAGCCAGAAGAAATGGGTGAGATCCTTAATGAGTATCCTACATCAGTATTCACCAAAAGGGGGACACATGGGATGTTGAGATTAGGGAAAGGTGTGTGAATACTCTTGGGCAGGTCAACACAATGAGGGAGGAAGTGTTGGATTTCTTAAAATGCATTAAGGTAGACATGTCCCCAGGGCCTGATTGGATTTATCCTACGATACTGTGGGAGGCAAGGGAGGAAACAGCTGGGGCCTTAACAGATATGTTTGGTCTTAGGCGAAGTTCCAGAGGACTGGAGAATGGCCAATGTAGTTCCTTTGTTTAAGAAGGGTAAAAGATAATCAAGGTCATTACAGGCTATTGAGCCTAATGTCAGTGGTTTGGAAACTGTTGGAGAAGATACTGAGAGCTAGGATTTAATCACATTTGGAAGTGAATGGACTTGTCAGTGATAGGCAGCACGGGTTTGTGCAGGGAAAGTCATGTCTCACCAACTTGACTGAGTTTTTTCAAAGAGGTGACAAGAATGATTGATGAAGGATAAACATTAGTAAGGCACTTGATTTGGTACATCGTAGTGGCAGGCTGGTACAAAAGCAGTCTCAGGGGATCCAGGGTTGGCTAGATAGATGGATACAGAACTGGCTTGGTCACAGAAGACAGACTACTGGTGGAAGGGTGCCTTTTGGAATGGAGATCAGTAACCAGTAGTGTGCCACAGGAATCAGTGCCTGACCTTTTTTTGTTTGTAATATGTATAAATAAGCTGAAGGTAAATGTAGACGGGTCTGATTAGTAAGTTTGCAATGACACAAAAATTGGCGGGTATGCAGACAGTGAGGGGAATTGTCAAAGGATACGGATAGATTGCAGACTTGAGTAGAGAAATGGAGTTTAATCTGGACAAATGCAAGGTCATGCATTTTGGAAGATCAAATTCAGGTGTGAATGAGACAATAAATGGCAGAACCCTGAGGAGCATTGACATAGAGAGAGATCCGAGTGTACAGATCCCTAACAGTGGCAACACAGGTGGATAAAGTGGTCAAGAAGGTGGCACAGTGGTTAGCACTGCTACCTCACAACTCCAGGGACCTGGGTTCGATTCCTCCCTCGGCCAACTGTCTGTGTGGTGTTTGCACATTCTCCCTGTGTCTGCGTGGGTTTCCTCCCACAGTCCAAAGATGTGCATGCTAGGCCTGTTTCCACACTGTAGGGATTCTATGAAGGCATACAGCATACTTGGCTTTGTTGTCGGGGCATCAAATATAAAAGTTGGCAAGTTATGTTACCGCTGTATAAAACTTTAGTTAGGATATATTTGGACTGTTGTGTGCAGTTCTGGTCGCCACACTATCAGAAGGAAGTAGATGTTTTGGAGAGGGTGCAGAGAAGGTTTACCAGGATGTTGGCCACGCTGGAGGGTTTTCAGTATGAGGAGAGGTTGCATAAACTTGTATTGTTTTCACTGGAAAGGTGGAGGCTGAAGGGTGACCTGAGAGGTCTACAAAATTATGAGAGGCAAAGATAGGGTGTATAGTCAGAGGTTTTTCACAGAATGGAAGGTCAACTACAAGACGGCACAGGTTCAAGGTGAGAGAGGGAAAGTTCAGGGGAGATGTGTGGGGAAAACTTTTCACACAGAGGGTGGTGGGTACCTGGAACGTACTGCCAATGGAGGTGGTGGAAGCAGGCACATTAGCAACATTTAAGGCTTGTCTTGATAGACACATGAACGCGAGGCAAACAGAGGGGCACACCCCGGGTCTAAATAAAGATAAGGAATCGGCGTAGACTTGGA